GTCCTTATCTGCGCGTTTTACGCTAATCCAACCAATCACTGGTCTTGTCTCTGAGTCATACTTATTAAAACGTGTAAATTTCTTAGAGAATATTAAACCCAAATTAAATAAATATGAAATAAATATATCATACATAATCACCCCAAAAAATTTTCTTTGGCTCTATACCATAATGTTTAATGGTTATATATATATATATATATATATATATATATATATATATATATATATATATATATATTCGATGGATTTAAAACATAAAAGGATCCTTGGTGTAGTGGTTAAGGCGCTAATGTTGCTTTCTTGAGTTTCCCGGTTTCGGGATAACTTATATATTTCGGTCTCTAATCAGTTTAGTCGGACTTGTAAGGACGAAAAGTTACCACCAAAATCTTTTTCTTGTTGTGAATATACTGTTATTTTCCTCAAATTTCAATTACTTAATTGGTATAGAAGAAAAATACACCAATAAAATTTATTCTCATTCATACATCTATGTATAAAAAGCAACACGAACCATGTGTACATTGTCCAATACGAACTAGTGGTGGTATTGAGCCGTGTAACGGTCCGATTGTCGTGCTATTTAAATACATGAACATATTATTTAAACACAACATTATTCAAACATACATATCAACATCACCATGAACATAGCACGCCATGTTTCTAGTCATGGGAACTCCAGACCACCATATCCTGCACAAATAGAGATCATAATTAAGATCACAACATTGAATAGTAGTCATTTGCTTTTATTCGTGACAGTTTGTGTTGAGGAACTTACAAAAAGGGGCAGTCGTCCACCTCTGGTTATCACCTTTAGTCCACTCCCAACAAAGAATTTTGGTGCCATCATGAATACCAGTGTCACCGATAGATGCATCCACATTAAGCTTAATCTTGTTCACCATTCTTACTGAGTGAAAACCATCTCCCAAATCCTTGCTTTGTGTCCAAAGAACAGACTCATCAACCCTATCTGGGTTGAATTCCGTCAACTGAACCTGTAGAAGCAGTTTTCATCAAAGATCCAAAGAAATTTTACAAAAAGAACAAGCTTGATCAAACATGGGACATATACTCGATCTATAATCCATACTTATATACAATTTGACATTTTCAAAAGCATCATTGACCAATAGACATATGTGAGTGTTCATCGCTAATTGAAGCAATTTCAAGTTGGAGGACTACATACTGGTTTAGCGGCACCGGTAGCGTGCTTCAGAGCCTGTCCAGTAGCTTTATTGACCAGAGCAAAAGAAGGAAAACCTTCTTCATCTTTGACTTTGGTGCTAAGCTTCTCTTCCTTTATCCAATGCTGTGTAAAAAAAGTAAAAGGTCAACTAAACTGAATTCAGATAAGCTGATCTGAGAAGGAGGAAAGAGAGGGTATGTACCTGATGAGGATCGGAGGGGTTGGTGGGTGCAAGAACGGCTTCTCCATTACGGATGGTGAGTGAGTAATCAGTCTTGATCTTGCTGTAAAACCTAACAGTGGGTTTGTTGTCGGTGTACTTAGGGGTCTGATGAGAGACATGTTGGACAGCTGCAGGTTGTGATGAGGATTGGTGGTGGGTCTGGGCGGGAGCATGGTGGACTGCGACAGCAGGTTGCGGTGTTGATTGGTGGTGGCTGGGAGCATTGTTGTGGTGGTGATCCATTTTGTGAGATTTGATTGGGTTGTGTCTGTGTGTGTAATGTAAGGACTAAGAAAGTAAGGAGTTAGTTAAATAGAGAAAGAGGAGATGAAGGGGGTAGTTAGAAGATATTTGTTTTTTTTGGCCGGTGGAAGAAGTCGTGCCCATATTTAATTGTTTTTTTGTACAAAATGGCCACGTTAGTAAATTATTTTGTCTTGAATTGACAGTTTTGTTCAGAAAAGATATTAGAATTATCTCAAAATTGATGATTCAGAGGAATTGAAATGGTAGGGCCAAGTTTTAGTCGACTGAAAAAATATCATTTATTTTATTTATATATTAAAGAATTAACTACTACGGTTCTCGAATAGTATATATTTTATAATAAGTTAATTTTATTGGGCCATCGTTAGATAGTACAGTATGGGGCTATTTTAAAAAATGAAATCTGAATTTTGATATAATTTTCAATGAAGTTGTTTTTTATAAAATTATTTTTTCTGGAAAATTGGAAAAATACTATTTTGAACTGAATTCGAATGTCTTGAGGACTTTTCTTCAAAAAAAAATACAAGTCTTTTAAAAGGAAAAATGAGATTATAGCACTATTGTTTTAAAAGGTCATTCAATTTATATTTTGCGGTTTAGGAGATTAATCTCGAACGTTAGGTTTTATTTTAAAAGGTCATTAAAACAAAAACGAGAAGAAGACATCAGTTCACTGAAACCTAAATCCATCTTCATCTCCAAAATTAGACAACTATTTTCGTTTCAGACTCCCTGCAACACTATCATTATTGAAAATTACAAATTTGAAAACCATCTATCAAATCTTGTTCAACATCAAAATTCATATATAACGTCCCAAAATATAGAGTACATTTTTCACTTTTTGTATATAATAAAACCATCCAAATATCATTACATCAAAAGATAATCAGAGTATAAGTTTGAAGTTTCAATTAATTATCAGAGTAAAATCATAAAAACAGATAGTGCGGAAATCTTCAGTAGATGCGATGCAATCAAGTCGGGCTATTTCATTTGCTACCAGAAGTACCTAAAATATTTAAACTTAAACCATAAGCACAAATCTTAGTGTTTCCCAAGATATCACATATAACACAACAACAATGGGTCTGGCCCTAGGGGTATATTGATGGGTTTTCTGTGTTAAATTAAAACACAAACACAACATATTTATGTAGCGGAATCATAAAACTATTTTATGGGCATATGCAACCTAGAGATCTATGACATTTTTTCATTATAGCAACATACTAAGTAAAACCGATCTAATCAATTTATATGTAAGAGCAAATAAGACTAATAACATACCTTTTAGTTGTAATCGAATACACTTACTCCTTTGATATTCAATAGCTCATGGAAAGTAAGCGCCAGAAGCATGTCTCTAATGGCTCACACTTAAAACCTTAGAACACTAGAAATCGAAAGAGGGAGGAGGAAAGAAGTGAAATTCAGATTTCATTCTTCTTGTAATTATTATCAACGAAAATAAGATGCTAATGGAAGATATTTATAGCTAGGGGATCTCCGGGATAAACACTTATTTGAATAATTAAATATTAGATTCAATATATTCAAGGTAGTTACCCTTATCAACTATATGACAAATCTAGAACCCTTCTAGATCCTTTAAAACCATACATACCATGGACGGTTCTAGAATTGCTTCTCCTTGCTCAATTATCAAGAATTACAATTCAGCCATTATACCTTTATTTAATTCCGGTTAATCTTGGATTAATTCCAGATTAATTCTGATTAATCATTAATTAATTCCAATTATTTCTAATTAATTCAACTAATCATATAATAATATAACAAATCATTTTATCTCTCTCTTAAAGTCAGTTCTATCTATTTCTAGTTATTAAGGGTAACCCGAAAAAGGACTTTACTTTTATTCCATAAAATTATACCAATTTAGTTATAACACTGACCAATTTAGTTATGACCTTAGACACCTATTTCAACATATATTTCAACCAATGTGAACGCTACGGTCCACCCGTAGTCTTACAATCACTTTTATTGCTACAGTCCCCCTGCAGTCTTTCCTTCTATGCCCCCCTCCCTCCCTCATAGTATTTCATACAAATCGATATGGTCCACCCGTACTCTTTCATGCGGTTCACAAAGAATAACAAACATATTTGTACACTACATATCCTACATAGTATAGTTAAAAGACTCACCTGAATCAAAAGTTGGATATCAACACTCTAAGTCACACAGAACCAGCTACACGTACCACCTATAACAAATAGAGTTCACCCCTCAGTATACTACCTGAAACCTCGAAGTTTGACAAAAAGTCAAACTGCTCAAAAGTCAAAGTTAACGGTCAACCCCACCGACCACCGCGTCGTGACCAAGCCCTGGGCGTGTCGTAGTGACTAAAAGACAAAATAGACATAGGACCATTCGTCCACCGCACCGTGGTCAGCCCCTGACCGTGTTGCGGTTCGTCTGGCAGATCAGTTCCCTCATTAAGCTCTTAATCCGTTAAGTCCAAGCCTCCAACTTTCCAAAAGGCTTTAATACTCTCTAATGGTCCATAAAATTGATTCTTTAAGACATGCATAACCCATATAAGGCTTACACCATTTTAGGTCAAAAATGGTGAAAAATGATTCTAACTTCATGCATGGCATCAAATGGACTGTAAATACAATATGCGACATCAACAATACTCCATGGACCTTAGAAATCAACAAGTTGCAACCTTTATTCCATAATTTCATCCAAACACATTAAAATGGACCAGAACTAACTTAAAATTAATATCTAGAAGGATAAACCACAAGGTTGAGTCTTAAAGACTTATAGAATTCCATAAAATGCACAAGAGACTGGATTTGGCTTGCTTCTTGACTCTTGCTTCACTAACATACATCTACTTCCTCTTCATAATCACTCTCCAAGCTTCAAACACCAAGGAACACACACAAATAAGGCTCAAGGTCCGAGATCTAGGGTTTTAAGCCCAGTAACCACCGCGTTGTGGTGGATCTCCACCACCGCGTCGCAGTCACTCACATTCTCAGGAAATTGAGACTTAAAAAATTGATGTCATAAAATTAGTACCTGAAAATAGGCGTTACGTCATAACCATATTCATCTTACTAGGAATAACCCCAACTGTAACACCAATTTCCAAGTAAGCATCACTTTTGAGTTTGTCAATTTAAGCCTTGAAGAATGAATTTTTGTCGGCCACGACGTGAGCAGGTAAGTCTCACACTGTGACGCTGCCAAAGGAAAAAAGCGCATTTCATTTGGTGTCACGACGTGACAGCCCCTGCATGTAAAACCCTAATTATGGGGTTTGTTCCCCTATTTAAGGGAAGTAAGGGCTAGGGTTTGCACACTCTCAACCTCCATCACCTCCAACCTAAAACCTAGCCTCCAGTTTGTCATTTGAGAGTTATTGGTGGTGTTTTGGTATTTTGAAGAAGAAGAAGTAGCTCTTGGTGCAAAGATCTAGCAAGATAACATCTTCTCCTCACCCTTGCTCATATTCTAGACTCTTATAAGTCCTCAAGATCCAAGATCCAAGCTTTATGATTAGTGTTTCTAGATCTAGGTTCTTGTCCATTTTCTCCATGATTGTGAGAGTTTGAATGGTTAAATTCCATAAAGTTGGCAACTTTATGGATCCTTAGGGTCCCCTTGGGGCTATATGTTCTAGATCTATGTTTCTATGGTGTATTTGGTCTCATGCATAAGTTTGAGTTCATTTATTCCATGTTTTTGACCTAGAATGGAAGAGACATGCATGTCCATAAAGCATCGATTTTTATGTTGCATTAAGAGTAAGAAAGCCTCCTAGAAAGTATGGATGAATGGTCTTATCGATTAAGGACTTAATGCATTAAAGAGGCTAGAACGGTTCTCACGACGTAAAGGATTGGTCTTCACGACATGAGAAAAATGCAGTCTCAACGACTGTCTTGTCTTGAGACCACCATGACATGACAAAAGATCGTGCACAATGTGGCGGGCATCTGGGAGACTTTTTGACTGTTGACTTTGAATTTTACCGTTGAGTTTTGACCTAAGATTGACTTTAGGTCAATATGAGGGTTTTAGGTTGTAGTGTCGGTTATTGGATCTGTGATCAGTGTTTTTATCCGCTAGACTGCGAGGTGAGTTTTCTCACTATATTTTTGTACTGCAATATGTATCCTTATGTGTAACATGTTGTTATACTATAGTGATCTATGTATCCTTGTAAATAGGATGTTGGTAAGTTATAGTGATCTGTTGATTGGTAGAATGTATTGTTGGTTATTGTTTGTTTGATTGTTTATGTGTATATGACGACACCTTGTAGTTGGGTTGAGGTTGTATTGTATCTAACATTCCTTAAAAGGGGTGTGGATACCTTTTCTGACACAACGTGTTTTAAAGTCGTGAGGGCAGCAGACCCCATAAGAACTCTGCAGTTGAGCATGCCCGGGCGAGAGCAATCCAGAGATAGGTGACCCCGTGGGAAGTTTTTGTGCCGAGAGCCCAAAGCGGACAATATTATGATATGTGCCGGAGGGGGATGTTACATTGTAGGCCAAGATACCCAGGCGGTATAGTGTATCGTAGGCTTTGTAGGACGGTCAAGTCAGGCTGTAAGCCCAAGGGAGCGGTCTAACTACTGTAAGCATTGCAAGCAAGCCAGTAAACTATAGGCTCGGTAGAGCGGTCCAGGCATCCTGTTGGCCTTGCAAGGCGGTCCAGCCAGACTGTAGGCTCAGGTGTGTATGTACTGTATGTGTATTGTTGTGTCGGGTATTTTGGGGGAACTCACTAAGCTTTGGTACTTCAGACGATCGGGGTAAGGCGAAGGCGTGATCGTACACATCCACTTCTTGTTTTAGGTGTTGAGAGATTATTTTGATACTCAGGTTTCTATGTATTTGTTTTGAAAACAATGTGTTCCTATCTTATGATTTTATGATAATATCTTTTAAAATGAAAATTTTTGTCATGGATTTTGGGATGTTACAAGTTAGTATCAGAGCTCTGGTTTGATAGAATTGGATGAACACTTGTG